AGAAGAAACTCCTGGTTGAGGCCCTCCCCATCATCAAAGGGAAAAACGGGATCCCAGCATCTACCCACCAGGAGGCTGCGAATGTATGGCTAGCACACTTTGGAAGGGAGGAATGTTCTATTGTGATCCCCATACGGCATGCACAGGCTATCATCGACCTCCTCCCTCCCCTTCCCTCTCAGTCTTGCGCCGTCCAAGACGAGGACATCTTCCTGCCCGCGCTCGCTCAGTTTCAGACGGCGTGCCGAGGCGCGCGTCCCAGCGCGGCCAGCATCGACGGCATCACGGGGCGCTTGCTTGCGACATTCGGGCCCGAACTCGCCGAAGTCTACTTTCCCGTCGCCATGAAAGCTGTCGTGAGGCTCGAGGAACCGCAACAATGGAAAGGAGGGTCGTATTGGAACATCTGGAAGCGCTCTGGAGACCCGTCTTGGCCTGCCCACTCCAGATCCGCCATGGTCCCCCCACAGGTCGGCAAGAAGTTCCGCGCCCTCATACGCACCCCTCTCGCCCAAGCCCTTCCCAGCTACGCCGGGGACCAACAGTTTGGAGGCATCTCGGGGCGCGGGGTCGACCTGGCAGGGTTCACCATTCGCACCTTTCAGAACATCGCCGAGCTTTCCAACGCCAGCATTATGTATCTGTTCGTCGATGTCGTTCAGGCATTTTACAAGTCGGCCAGACAGTTGGCAATACGCTCAGGACATACCGTCGAGGACATTGCATGCATACTGAGGACCGCGGGACTCCCACCCGAGGCCATGCAACGCCTCCTTGCACGGCTCAGTTCGCATGCACCTAGCTTGGAGACAGCTGGAGTCAGCCAACACCTACAGGCTCTGGTAGCCTCTTCCTACCACGGGTCCTGGTTCCACTATCCAGGGGCCTCCACAGTGGCTGTTTCCCTGCTCGGTACCGCTCCAGGACAACGACTCGGGGGCGTCGTTTTCAATTTCGTTATGGCGGAATGCATGGCCCTCACCAAAGAACAATTCCAGCCTCTCCAGCTAGCGCTGCAGGTTCCGACGCTGTGTGGAGCATCGCTTTCGCAGATGATGGCGCACGAGCCTGCGCCCTCACAGCAGGCCTTAGAGGTTATCTTTTTTGACGACGGAGCTTTCGCCGTCTTCGGAGATCCTCTCGAGCTGCTCCAGCTTGCGCCCCAGATCGCAGGCACAGTGGCGAGTTCTGTCGCCTCTCGAGGCCTCACTCTCAATTTCAAGGCAGGAAAGACCGAGGTGCTGTGCCAATTTCATGGCAAACATTCCAAGTCCGCCCGACTCCAGCTATGGAAGCACATGCAGGGTATCTTCAGTTGGCACGACGACGTGGTAGGGGACATGCACATGCGCGCTGTACGTCAATGCCCCCATCCCGGGTCTATCTTGGGTGAACGGTGTGCGGTGGGCCCCGAGGTGGCCAAGCGCATAGCTGGAGTGGCACAACCCTCCAGAATCCTCGTCCGCAAAGTCTGTCGGGCCTTCCCACGCGACGACGACGCCGGCACATTAAAGATGAGGTTCATTGACTCACTTATTGCCTCCTCCATGTTATTCAACTCGGGGGCTTGGTGTAACATCGAAACTGGAGCCTGTGCTAAGCTACGTCATGCACTACTTCGCAAGTGCCGTGCTGCCAGTGGTCTGTTCAGCTATGACCACACTGCTAGTACCGACGCCGTTGTTCTAGCCACAGTCACTCGCTGCGATCTTAATGTGCAGTTGAGAGTACATAGGCTTCGACTTCTGGGTAGAGTTATCCACCACGGGTCCGACATCCTCCGAGGGCTGCTTGCGATGGCCTATCGGGCTGCTCAGGACAACCACGGGACGACCACCACCTCCTGGATCCATCACGTTTTGGATGACCTAACATGGTTGCGCAATGTATGCAAACAACTACACGACTACCCAGACCCTGTGGTGGACTTCGGTGCTTGGGAGAAGCACGTTTTCCGATCGGTTCGTGCCTGGAAGAGCCTCCTTCGCGAGGCCTTGGCCAACGCCGCGCACGCAGAGGCGCAGTCAGCTTTAGCAGACAAAGCAGAAAAATACTTCTTTGCCATCACGATGCCTTGCGGCTTCCCGCTTCCTATCACCCACCCCCGCCACCCGCCGAGGCAAAACGACGAGGTGATCAGACAAGTTGAATGCCCTTGGTGCCAGATTCACTTCCCACGCCCTAAGGCGCTGCGCCAGCGCATCGTCCGCACGCACTTCAGTCTTGTATCGCAGATCGAGCGCTTCCTAGGTGAGGGTACCCAATGCATGGCATGTGCCACCGATTTCGCGTCGCGTCGGCAAGTGCGAGATCATCTCGCCTTCGACTCTGCCAGGTGCGCACTTTCATATGGGTGTAGGGGGGCCACACTTACAGCGACTCAAGCACAGCAAGCAGCACAGCATGACAGGCAACTCTGTGAAGCCCGCCGCAAAGCGGGCCTAGGACGATGGAGGTCAGCATACCCAGCGACGGTAGGCATCAATGGGATGATCTGGGAAGCCACTTGGGTATTCTCACACTTAACGGAGGAGGAGGCTAGGCAGGTTCTCAGAGAAGCCCGATATGAGTATCCTCAGGAGGCCCTACCAGCTCTCCAACAAGCTTGGCAGGACGCGCCACCTCCCCACCCAGACGGCTCCGACCCCAACCCTATTCATTTCGAAGATAGATACTACATCTTCCGTCCCAACGACTTCACGGGCCTAGCCATCACTCCGCTCCCATGCCGCATTATGCGAGCGGAGGTCTTTATCCTTAATCTCTTTTGTGGACGGCGACGGCACGGCGACATACAATATCACATCGATGCCATGACACAAGGGGTGGAGCTTACCATCACGGTGATTTTCCTGGATATTGCCATACACCATATCCTTGAGGACCTCACGCGCGCTTCCACCATCGCCGAGTGGACGGAGCACATCCGAAGCCATCGCGTATGGGTCACAGGCGGAGGACCGCCATGCGAGACGTGGAGTGCAGCTCGATGGAACCCAGACGGGCCCCCACCCTTACGCACTCACAGCCACATGTGGGGCGTACCGTGGTGCGCACAGGCGCAACGGGAACAACTCAGAGTGGGCAACACGTTACTCTTCACCATAGCACAGCTCTTGCCCGAGCACGTCCGTGCAGGCACTAGCGGTTGGATGGAGCACCCGCCGCCAGCTCCTTGGCGACCTGAGGCGCCACCGAGCTTCCACTGGATGCCTCTCCGAGCCCTGGAAGCTGCCCCCTGGTCAGCGCCATCCAGTTCGACCAGTGCACCCACAGAACTGAGGACCCGCGACTTCACGGCAAAGCAGCGACCAGGATCCTTGCTCTCCGACTCCCGACCATTCACGGCCTCTTGAAGGCCAACAACAACGGCAGGTGCAACCACGGCCCCAACGCCCATGCAGTATTGCAGGGCAAACGTGAGGACGGGTCATTCAAAACGAGTAGCAAGAAGACGTACCCACCATCCATGTGCAAGGCCATAGCTCAGGCAATGCACGATAGCATCATGGACGCATATCACAATGGAATGGATCAGCCGTCAGCTATGCTACCACAGTCCACGCAGGAATACAACGACTCCCACATCCGTCAATTCTTTGTGCCGTGGTCCGACGAGGAGTGCTTCTGGGAGGCTCCTGACTACGCCGGCACGAAGGGTACCAAACACAGAGTGAACCCTGAAGCCTGGCGTTGGGCTCCACCCGGGGAGCCCATCGAGGCCACCACCACCTCCCTTCCCTCTAGCGCTTCTGCTGCCATCCCAGAGCCTCAGGAGCCTTTCCCGCCCGAGGCTCCCGAGGACCACCCGTCTCAGGTTGCCGAGGACCTCGAGGCGGCCGAAGCCGCCGCGATCGCGATGGGCGTGCACGAGGCAGCCGCCAGCTCAGACGCCCTAGCTGCCCCTCCTCCCCCCCCCACAGCTCACTGCTGAGCAGTTGGGGCGAATTCGTCGCAACGGAGAGGCCGCCAGGGAGAGGAAGCGCAGACGGCGCGCTCCCTGGAATTTCTCAGCCATTCTGTGGCCAAAGTAACCTCCCATTCTGGGGACCCATCTGTGGCCCCCAGGCCAATGCAAAGTCATAGCACGCCTCACACGAGTCGAGACACACGGAGCATGACCCAGCGTCCCAGCCTGCGTCCTACCTACCTACCTCCCTCCCTCCTTCCGTCCCTCCATCCCTCCCTCCCTCCCTTTCTCCATTCCTCCCTCCCTCCCTCCCTCCTCCTCCTCCTCCTCCTCCTCCTCCTCCTCCTCCTCCGCCTTCGCCTCCGCCTCCTCCTCCTCCTCCTCCTCCTCCTCCTCCTCCTCCTCCTCTCTCCTCTCTCCTTCCTCCTCTCTCCTCTCTCCTCTGTTCCTCCCTCCTCCCCTCCCTCCTCCTCTCCCTCCCTTCCTCCCTCCGTCCCTCCCTCTCCTCCTCCTCCTCCTCCTCCTCCCTCCTCCTCCTCCTCCTCCTCCCTCCTCTCCTCCTCCTCCTCCCCCCTCCTCCTCCTCCTCCTCCTCCTCCTCCTCCTCCTCCTCCTCCTCCTCTCCTCCTCCTCTCCTCCCCCCTCCTCCTTCTCCCCCTCCTCCCTCCATCCCTCCCTCCGTCCCTCCCCCCCCTCCCTCCCTCCCTCCCCCTTCTCTCCTCCTCCTCCTCCCCCTCTCCTCCGCCTCCTCCTCTCCTCCTCCTCCTCCTCTCCTCCCCCCTCCCTCCTCCCTCCTCCTCCTCCTCCTCCTCCTCCTCCTCCTCCTCCTCCTCTCCTCCTCCTCCTCCTCCTCCTCCTCCCTCCTCCTCCTCCTCCTCCTCCTCCTCCTCCTCCTCCTTCCTCCCTCCTCCTCCTTCCTCCTCCCTCCTCCTCCTCCTCCTCCCTCCTCCTCCTCCTCCTCCTCCTCCTCCTCCTCCTTCCTCCTCCTCCTCTCCTCCTCCTCCTCCTCCTCCTCCTCCCCTTCCTCCTCCTCCTCCTCCTCCTCCTCCTCCTCCTCCTCCTCCTCCTCCTCTTCCTTCTCTTCCGCATAGGACCCCTACGCTGGGGTGGAGCAGGCCCACCGGGAGTCCGCCGCGGCCAGCGTGGAGGGCTTCATGAACGAGGCCTGCCACGGCCCCCCCTCCGTAGGGGGGGCGCGTCGCGGGGCCCGGGGCAGGGCCCGGTCATCGTCCTTTCCAGATCATGGGTTACGTACCAAATGTTTTCCGTCCCGATCGGTAGCGACCGATCGGCACTCCAAATTGGTCGCGAGCGATCGCGACCGATTCCAGATTCGGTCGCAACTGGTCGCGCCGATTTTGAAACCTATCGGTCGCGATGGATCCTCTGGAACTTGGAGCCAAATCGGCAGCGACCAATTTCGTCGTTCGCGACGACCCAATGATCGGGATCCCCCATCCCCTACCCTCCTCGGATCAAGGCTCGGAGCTCGAAAATTGACATTCGTAGGCTTACGCCACACCGCCGACCCCTTTGAAGACTGGCGGTTGCTGCGTGCTGCTCCTAAGCGCCTCTTTGGTGTTTTGTAGGTGCTTCTTGGAGCTCTTTTGATTATCGAATGGCCATCGGTACATCCCGCCACCATGCCTGGGCTGTGGGTCGGAGGCCGCGCAGATGTCAGATGGGGTCTTGTGGGAGGCGTCTGGGGGGCGTTTGGGAGGCAGCTTTGTGTACCTTTTGGGGGCCTCCTGGGACCCGCTTGGTGGCTTTGGGGGGGCCTCTCGGAGCTCCCTGGGGGCCTGTTGGGGTTTTTTGGGGGCCAATTGGGGCAATCGGGGATCGTTTTGCGGCCGAATCCCCCCATGGCGCGTTCGGCTGGTCCCCTGGGGACGCACCCCCCCCTCCAAGTCGACCGGACAGGGCTCCCCGGGGAGGGATTTTGGGGAGGGGGGAGTATCTTACACGCCGATGAACTCCAAGGGGCTGGCCGATTTTCTTTTCGTTTGTTTGCTCGCCCCGCTGGGTGAGTCCGCACTGCCGCGGCTTGATCCGCCTTGAAGATTCTCCTCCAACCCCCAGGAGATGCCCCGGGGGGGGCGGGGCTTGTAGACCCCCCGCCGTCCTTGTTCGATCGATCGAGGTTCCAGGTTCGAAGAGGTTGGCCTCCATGTTTGGACTGGAGGTCCGCTTTGGGCCCTGAGGCCGCAAGGGACCGATGTTGAGCGGATTTCGGCTGCGCACTTTCCGCCAATGCTCCCCCGTGCGCGCATGCCCATCGGAAGGAGATCCATTCGCATCCCCTCGGCAGGAGGGGAAGGAAATCCACGGCCTCTCCCTCCTCGCCCGTCTTCAACCCCTCTCTGTCCTGGTCACGCATCATTCATCATCACGTCTTGCAAGCGCCGTTTGGGGATGACTGTCCTCTAGGACATCCCGGTCGGCAGCCAGAACAGGATTCAGCGCAGTGGGAAAGAATGGGTGGGAAGGGTAGGATGTTAGATGTGGCGCGAGCGCTCCTAGCTTGCTCCACCTCTCTTATTGCCCCTCCCTGATATCGATACCCCATGCTCGTTCTGTTTGCATGCAACAATTGAATGTGATGCCGCCCGATAGTTTTAGCCTTCACTGAACAGAAGCGGCCATGCCCATGTCCCCCCCCCGCATCATTTTTCTCTCCTTCCGTATCCCCCCTCCCTCCCTCTCCTTCCTTCGCCCCCTTTGCCCCCACCCCACTCCTCCCCCGCTCTGGCAGAACATCCTGACGCCTCTGCAGCACATCCTCGGCCCCCCGGGTTGACGCGGACAGAAGAGGGGCAGCGGCGGAGCAGGAGGAACATCGACGGGGAGGGGAGATGGACAGTCGACAGGGACGGCAACAGGGGGGGGGGGTGCGGCGGCGTCATCCCAACATACTGATACTATGTGTGCGTCTCCCCCTCAGGGGCGACGCGTGCACCGAGAAATCTTAACAGTATGCGCGTCGTGGCGGGCGCTTTCTGGCCACACCCCGCTCTGGAAGCGACATGCTACAAGATGGGTATAACATGGGTTCGGGTCGGACGTGCGCCTCCAAGGAGGACGTGTAGAATGAGTATGTCTCTGTGCGCCCCAGTGCGGGGGGGGGCAGAGAGGGAGAGAGAGAGAGAGAGAGAGAGAGCAGGAAGGAGAGCGGGGCCAGCACGGGGCCTTGCACAAGGGGGGCAGGGCCGAACGCGCGAGCGGGGGGCCGAAGCCGCGGCGAGCGGCAGGTGGAAGGCTGGAGCATGGAGCTGCAGCGCCACAGCCCCGAGGCCGGCGGACGAGGGGCGGGGGCCTCGCTCTCCTCCTCCTCCTCCTCTTCCTCCTCCTCCTCCTCTTCCTCCTCCTCCTCCTTTCCTCCTCTCCTAACCCTTTTCCTCCTCCTCCTCCTTCTCCTCCTCCCTCCTCCTCCTCCTCCTCCTCCTCCTCCTCCTCCTCCTCTCTCTCCTCCTCCTCCTCCTCCTCCTCCTCCTCCTCCTCCTCCTCCTACTCCTCCTCCCTCCTCCTCCTCCCTCCTCCTTTCCTCCTCCTCCTCCCTCCTTCTCCTCCTCCTCCTCCTCTCCTAACCCTCTTCTCCTCCTCCTCCCTCCTCCTCCTCCTCCTCCTCCTCCTCCTCCTCCCTCCTCCCTCCTCCTCTCCCTCCTCCTCCTCCTCTCCTCCCTCTTCCTCCTCTCCCTTCTCTCTCCTCCTCTCCTCCTCCTCCTCCTCATCCTCCTCCTCCTCCTCCTCCTCCTCCTCCTCCCCCGCGCCGACGGGGTCGAAGCGGGTCGATCGGTCCCGTCGATGCGACTCGGCAGATGTGTTCCTCCCCTCCACCTCGTCGGTACGATAGATCCGATTCGACATCGATGTTGGCCGGCCCGATTCGATTCGATGCCACTGATGTTGCTCTTCCTCCGCCCAGCGGCTGCCGCCGCAGTCTCCCGATCCAGCCTCCCGCCCCGTTCTCTCATCTATTGTCTATTGCGTACAGTCGGCCCCGATTAGTAGGTCGACCCTGCCAAGTCAAGGGTACCCTCCTGTCCTGTGTCTCGCGACCTATGCCTCCTACATTTCTATTGCATTGTGGCCCTCGGAAGGGTCTTGTGTTCTCTCGCGGGTCCTGTCCAATCAGGTCCGACTGTACGTTCGAGGCTTGAGATTCTCGGACGCCTTCGCAGGGTACCCTAGCAAGGTTTGCCATCCTCGGGATGCTCTGCAGCAGCTGCGCCTCACCGAGAGCGCTCCGCGGCTACAGTGGAGACCCATGCCAAGATACGCCCTGCTTGCCTCCAGGGTGCCCTGGGTGTCTTGGGTTTCGACGCCATGGAAAGCGTGGCGCTCCCGCACCAAAAACCAGTGGACGTCCTGGGTCTCAGGGTTGGGCGGTGGAAGGCTTCTTGTGGTTGTGCCCCTGCCGTGCGCGACTCCTCCCGACTGGCCGCGGGAGACGCGAGGGGCGACCCGACTTCCAGACCTCTTCGCCGCACAGGTGAGACAAACCGCGGCTGGAGGCGTCGGTTCGGGCCGTAGTCGGCCGCTCGGGGCCTATGCTTGGGGCCCCCTGAAGCGTTGAACAAGCGGCCGTCGGGATGCCACGAGCGAGTCCTGGGGAACGGGGGCCAGGCCTCCAGGAGTCCACGTGGAGAACGCAGCTCGACGTGGGGAGACTAGCGCGTTCTCATCGTCTTCGTATGCCTCCTTTTGCTCATCACTCCTCCTTTTCTCCTCTCTCTCCTCCCTGATCCCTCTTCGGCGAGCGTCGCCTCGACTCCATCTGGCGCCGTCACGACCGCGACCTCCTCCCTCCTCTCTTCCCCACCTTCAGTGTTCCTCATCCCTCCGCCCTCTCTCCCCTCTCTTCCCTCCAAGTGAGCACACTCATCGCGAAGCAAGTCGTTACCTGATCCGTATCTCTCTTCCCTCCCTACCGCGTCTCTGCCTCCTCCCTCCATCGTTTACCCCTCCCAAAATCATCCCTCCTCGCTTACATGTCCCCCCATCCTCAGACGGGGTGATTGTTTTCAGTGGGACGCCCCCATCCTCAGACGGGGTGATTGTTTTCAGTGGGACGCCCCCGCCTCACTCCAACCTTCTTCCTCCCACCTCACCTCAGTCACTCATACTTCCGACCGCTCGCACTCAGACTCGTTTACACGCAGACGAATCCACGGTCAGATTCATTCACGCTCAGACTCACGCGCAGGCTCCCTCCCACACAGAGCACACTTCAGACCCACCCCACATCGAGACTCATCCACACTCAGACCCACTCGCATTCAGACCCACCGCGGTATGGCAGGCGTGGCACTTGGGCATCGCAGGGCAGAGCCGCCAGGCGTGGTTTCGTTTTCTAGCGATTGGGCCGATACCCCACGGCTGGAGGTCTTGGTTCGGCCGTATTCGGCCGCTCGGGGCCTATGTTTGGGCCCCCCTGAAGCGTTGAACAAGCGGCCGTCGGGATGACAAGAGCGAGTCCTGGGGAATTCGGGCCATGCCTCCAGGAGTCCACGTGGAGAAAGCAGCTCGACGTCGGGAGACTAGCGCTTTCTCATCGTCTTCGTATGCCTCCTTTTGCTCATCGCTCCTCCTTTCCTCCTCTCTCTCTCTCTCTCTCCTCCCTGATCCCTCTTCGGCGAGCGTCGCCTCGACTCCATCTTGCGCCGTCACGACCGCGACCTCCTCCCTCCTCTCTTCCCCACCTTCAGTGTTCCTCATCCCTCCGCCCTCTCTCCGCTCTCTTCCCCCCAAGTGAGCACACTCATCGCGAAGCAAGTCGTTACCTGATCCATATCTCCCTTCCCTCCCTACCGCGTCTCTGCCTCCTCCCTCCATCGCTTACCCCTCCCAAAATCATCCCTCCTCGCTTACATGTCCCCCCATCCTCAGACGGGGTTATTGTTTCCAGTGGGACGCCCCCGCCTCACTCCAACCTTCTTCCTCCCACCTCACCTCAGTCACTCATACTTCCGACCACTCGCACTCAGACTCACTTACACGCAGACGAATCCACGGTCATATTCATTCACGCTCAGACTCACGCGCAGGCTCCCTCCCACACAGAGCACACCTCAGACCCACCCACATCGAGACTCATCCACACTCAGACCCACTCGCATTCAGACCCACCGCGGCATGGCAGGCGTGGCACCTGGGCATCCCGGGGCAGAGCCGCCGGGCGTGGTTTCGCTTTCTCGCGATTGGGCCGGTATCCAACGGTCAGGCCCGCAGGGGGTCGCTGTTGGAGGCGTCCGCCTCCTCGGCTCGTCCTTCTCCTCCTCCTCCTCCTCCACGCTCGACGCTCGACGCTGGCCCTCCCCCCTCTCCTGTCCTCGCGATCCTGTCCTGACCTCCTGCTCTTGTCCTTCTCGTCCTCCTCCCTGTCATGCTGTCCTGTCCTCCTGTCCCCGTCCCCGTCCCCCTCCTTCCCCTCTTCGTCTCTTCGTCCTCCTCCCTCCTCCTCCCTCCCCCTCATCCTCCCCCCCCTTGTTCCCCGCTCTCCCCCCCTCTTCATTGTCCCCCGCCTCCATCGTTCTCCTACTGCTCTTCCGTTCCCCCTTCGTGTCCTGGTGTCGGAATTCAACACTATTTTTCAACGGTTGGATCGGGGCCCTCAGCTCTAGGCACGCAGTCGTGCGCTGCTGCTGGGGATGCGCCGCAGTCGGCGGCGACGACCGCCGACACCACGCCGTTTGTCCATGCCTCGTCCTGCCCCTTCGACGGCACCTCCCGAGCTGGGGCCTCCCTCCCTTCGCCGCCGTCGCACGCTGCAGCTCTCGACCGCATTCTCGCCGTGCACTGTAGCAACAGGGCCTGCGTGAGACTGCAGCATTCCGCCGGCCAGCAAGCACGGGAGCGCCTCCGTGTTTCGGCTCGTCGCTCGAATGTGGTCCGACCGCTGCTCTCTTAGCAGCTGGAGAGCGTCAGTCTGCTCAATGCCTCGACCAGTGGACTCGATCACAGGGCGTATCGTGCTCCACCTCCTCCTCCTCCTCCTCCTCCTCATCCTCCTCCTCCTTGTAGTTGGCCAGACCTTACGCTTACGCGTGTTGCGTTCTCCTCCTCCTCCTCCTCCTCCTCCTCCTGCTCCTCCTCCTCCCCCCCTCCTCTCTTCTTCTCCTCCCTCCTCCCCCCTCGTTCGAGCCCTCCCGCGCGCCGCCGCGCCGCAGGCCTGGAACGAGACCTCCGTGCTCCTCGTGCGGTGCATCACGTGGCTCCCGGGCGCGGCACCCTCGCCCCCGAAGTTTGCCCTCTAGGGCGGCGCGTGGCTGCGCGGCGCGGCCGACCAGGCTACCCCGAAATCTGCGCGCCGTGCCCGAAGCAGCCGACATGGTCGCGGCCGGGGGCACGAGGTCGCGCTTGCCCCCGGGCCCCCCTGAGCAGGGCCGGATGAGTGATGGGGGGAGGGAGCGAGGGAAGGAAAGGGGGGAGGGAGGGATCAGGGGGAGGAGGGAGGGGGGGAGAGGAGGCAGGGGCAGAGAGGAGGGGAAGGATGATGATGGGGAGGAGGAGGAGGAAGAGGAGGTGGAGGAGGAGGTGGAGGAGGAGGAGGAGGAGAAGGGGGAGGGGGAGGAGGGGGAGGAGGGGGAGGAGGAGGAGGAGGAGGAGGAGGAGGAGAAGGAGGAGGGGAGGAGGAGGAGGAGAGAAAAGGAGGAGGAAGAGGGGGAGGAGGAGGAGAAGAAGGAGGAGGAGGAAGAGGAACGGAACGGAACGGAACGGAACGGAAGTGCCCGCGGACGGGGGAGTGCACAGCACTAAATATGCAATCGAACATACTGGCACAAACAGACTGGGATATTACCTACACATGAGGTGAGGACCAAAACTTATCCCTTAGATTGGGCCTCTCTGGCCAACTCCTTCACACGAATTCGTTCGAACAAAGCAGCCATTCGCTGCTCATAGGGAGGGGCCGCATCAGTACTGGAGAAGGAAGTCCTCACCACGGGGGGGGCGTCCTGACACGGAGGGTCGGCGGAGAGGCGCAGCCTCTGGAAAGGAACCGCACGATCAACGAACGCCCGAACTCTCGGGTTCGGACAATGACCCGTCCGATACTCAGCCAAGACGTCTAACTCTTTACGCGTGGGGGCCACACAACTCCGACTGAGCTTGATTCCCCCCCCCTGGGACCAACCCCCGCAACGAAGGCATAATATCTGCTCCTTGGACGCATCACGACACGACACCGAATCGCCACCAGCTTGCCGAGCCAACGTCCCCGCCATGGCGACAAGAGTGTGTCCCATGGAATCCTGGAGCAACTTCTTGAGAAAATGCGGCAGCCCAGGACATCCATCCATGGGCGCTTCGTTCTCTGGGCAATTGAGCACTCGAAAACATAGCGTACATTGAGTGCCGAGTGGGCCGTGCTCCCACTTGTGCCACGACGTCTTTCGCCGTGATCGCCCAGAAGGTATTCGATGAGGCCTTGTCCACCGAACTTTATTCTCAAAAAGGGGGAGTACCGCACTTGCAAGCTTCATGAAGTGTCCAGCCCTCTCGCCTGCTAAGTCCAGCTCTTGTGAAAAGGCTGGCGAGGGACTGGGATGCAAACCGAGTCCGTCTTTGGCATAACGATCCGCCGCCGCGCTGGCTTCGGCAAACATCCGCTCGACCCCTTTCTAGGGATTATATCTGCTCTCGCTCTCGATGGGCCTTAACATGACGGATCGTGGGAATCATGGCCGTGCCCTCGAGCTGCTGTGCAAAAGCTCGAATGCCTGCAAACTTGTTTGGCAACGCAAGCTGGGCATCTACATCCTTCTGAGCGAGGCGTATTGCCGCCATGCAATCAGCTCCAAGCTGTGCTGGTCGCGTGGCAATATGTCCACAGATCGCAATCCCTAAGTGCTCCGCCATAGCTGGTGTTTGCGGCAAGGACCCTGGGACCACGCCTTTGACGATCGCCACAGGATCCTCGCCAGCATCAGGACAAACAGCCACAGCCCAGGCAGCACGCTGCAGTGGCCGAATCAGTGGCCTACTGCTGGACCCGTCAGGAGCCAAACGCAGCGGCGCCAAACTGGTCAAACTCGCTATCTCTTCTGGCTGCATGTCCAGTGCGTTCCCCTCCCTATCATGCAAGTAAACCTCAGACGAAACCAAAGGGCAGGGCAACTCACTGTCGGCATAAACGTGAACACCACTCGGGAAAATTGGCGGGTCAGGGTTGTCACGAGCAGCGTTGAGGAAAGTGCCAGGCACCTCGGAAGCTGCACGCGCTTCGGCAACACGAGGGGGCTGGCAACTATATAACCGGTGGTGGACTGTGTCAGGTTGACCGCACTCACACAACCCGTCACACACGTAACCCGCACGCACAGCCCTATCGTTCGTCCACAGTCCACCACGTCCGCATGCTTGGATTAAATACTTCTGGTATCGTGTATATCTCTTGGCTTTCGGTGCTACCGTGTCCCTCAGGAGGTCTAGGGTCGCACGAGAACCTTCAGGAAAGCCTAGGTGCCTCGCCAGGTCTAACTCACGCTGGCGCTGCAAACCTTGCTCCATCATGTCCATGAGGAGGGGCGGTGGGGTGGTCTCTATTTCGACCCCTAGGCCGTTGTGGTCGTACCACTTCAAGGGGCCACCCGCTCGCCAACCAGCCCTCTTGAGACATAAAACTGCTCGAGCTAGCGGGCCCTGGGATCTATTCCACGAATCACACTCACCAGGCCTGGATGGGTCCCAGAGCCTGAGAAGCTCAGCTCGCGAATCTAATGGCAGTGCGGGTCGCCGCGAAGCGGTCCATGTCATTCGACACCATTATATCGCTGGTGCCACGGCTAATATACCACTACTGCCTCCGAAAATGGCAACCTTGGCCCTCAACGGCACCCCATCCATGACTCGGGCCATTGCTGTGGGCCATTAATTTCCTGAGGCCGAGCCACTCCGAGGCCGTGAGACCTGAGACTTCCACCCCGAAACTGCAGGCAGGGGCAACTCCTTGACGGGCAACCTTTCTGAAGGGGTCTTCTTGGGTCCCTTAAAACGCCATCGGAGAGCTTTAACATTTCGAAATCTTCTGCGCATTAAAGTGAAACGCCCACGCTGTTTCAGTCGAGCATGCTGCCCGTGTCTCCTAGCCCCCGCAGGCTCATCTATGCCAAGATATGCCGCGCTGGATTTGCATACACTGGGTGGCAGCCCCAAGGATTCACAAACATCTCGAGCAAGGTCCTCGGGCGTCGCCATGATGGAAAGCTTGGCTGGGTCGAGGCCTGCATTGAGAAAACGGCTGGCATGCTCGAAGTGTTTCATGCTCTCTATCGCCACTCCCTTCGTAATGTCGCAGCCACTGGAGGAGATGTGGATGCCTGTGCCATCTATGTAGTTCTGGAAATCAACCAACGGCGCTCGACGTACAAGCATATCCAGAGCATCCACTGCATGCACCTTGATTGCCAGATCGCTGTAACCATCGCCCGCTGGAAGCCCGTACCTCGCTATCAGCGGCCTCGTCGCATGATGCCGTCCCAATCGAGTCACGCGCGGGCTCGCCCACATGTTGAACACAAGCTTGAGCCAGGATGTCGGGGCTCCGTGGCGCAGGAACTTGCGACGCAGCTCGAGCAGCGGGATGGATTCGTGGTACGTGCTCCAATATGCAACGATGACCACCCCGCGCTTGTGCGCCACTTGGTTGCTTTCAGACCGCACCGCCTGCAGCCGCGCGCAATCTACTGCGGATCGTCCTTTGCTCGCTCCCCAGTATCGCCTGTCCAAATATGCATGCACGTGAGCTACCATCGGCTTCCTCGCCCGCTGCCACACGCAGTACATCATAGCATATAGAATAATGAGTCGGTTTCCACCTGACGGCTTACCCAATAACGGCATCTGGATCCAGCATAATTGCTTCGGCAACATTCCTATCGCCTCCGACGCAGCCATCCACATGTTCAGGGGGTCCAGCCCTTCATCGTCCAACAGGCACAGGTGGCGCGGGTGAAGATTGTCAAAGCTCGTAGCCGTGGTCGCTGGGAAGGACTCGGCAGCATCTCTTATCTCGTCCGCCGTGAGCCTCGGGCACATCGATCGATCAGGCACCCAGGCTGGCAGTGCAACATCCGATGCCTCCCACAACGCGCGATGCATCTCCACCTCCTGTGCCACAATGACAACTGGACCTCCTGACTGAACTCCAACAGCTACAGCAGGAGACGGGATAGCCTTCACCTTTGTGGCACGATGCAACGGCTTTGAGCCACCCTGCGTTGCCATCTTGCTCCACTCTGCACATGCTTGGGTTGAATCATTAAGTTGCCCTTTCACTGCACAACATACATCTTCAGTTTTTTTCGTCAAGGAACTGCTGGATTCGATCCATGTCCATTGGCGCCGAGTCGATGATAGCTCGTGCCTGGACCACCGTGGAGTCTAATCTGGCATTGGCCCCTGGTCCAGGGAATGGTACTGATAGAAATGACGTGATCTCCTCAGAACAGCGCATCGGCCCTTCCTGGTCGGACTGGGCATATAACTTCTGTATGGTGACGATGTTCCCCTGGAGCCACTGCCATCCCTGCGCAGCGCTCTGCGCTGCATTGCCATCCAAGATGTTGCTCGTTGCGTCGACCCATCGCGGCTCTAGGTTCCGTGCATGCGCTCCTGGCTGCTCGAGATCAACGCCTGCATTCTGCGCAGCATATTCCGCAACTGTAACTGCATACTTCCCATGTACATTCGAAAGGAACGCCCATGACACACCGAGGTCACTGCTCTCATTTTGCGCCAGCTCTAGCGCTTGTCTTGCCAACGCAGCACGCAGTGTCCAATCGATCGGCTGGGTCAGTGGGACAGGCGGCGGTGTCGCAGGCAGCTTAGCCGATACCGTGTAAACGTAGTGCTGGATTTTGCGTCCACTGTCAACTAGGGATAGCTGGACTGGCCGAGGAGCTTTCTTGTGCCACTGCATGACAGTATGAACTCCTCTGTGCCCTCTAACGATCGCATTGTTCAGACAGAAATAGTCGATCGTGCTCACGCCCGTGCCTCCTCGAAAGGTAACATGCGACGGGACGGCTGTGACCATGTCAGCTTGCTGAGGAAATCCAGGGTGCCCCAGGATGGAGGAGTCCATGTTCCAGTCTCCTGCAACAAGCCCAGGCCCCGATACACCCGATAGTATCCGCCCAGCTGCCGCAAGAATCTCCGCGTTCAGGCCCGCTGGGCCTGTCGAATCTTCCCGGTAAATGTTGAGGACGGCTATCGGCGGCCATCCTCTGATGTCTATGATCACATGTTGAAG